AGTAGGACACCTTCTCAGGCATGAAGGTCTAGTCAGAGAAATATTAGAGGCAGAAACAGGAGTTAGGAGGGGTAGAGGTAGACCTAGACTCTTCGCAAATAGTTAAGGATGTGGGCTGTTCTAGTTTTAGGGAAATGCGAAGTTTAGCTCAGGATAGGAAAGAGTGGAGGTACGTGTCAGAGAAATATTAGAGGCAGAAACAGGAGTTAGGAGGGGTAGAGGTAGACCTAGACTCTTCGCAAATAGTTAAGGAGGTGGGCTGTTCTAGTTTTAGGGAAATGCGAAGTTTAGCTCAGGATAGGAAAGAGTGGAGGTACGTGTCAAACCAGTCTTAGGACTGACGACCTTATGATGATGATGATGAAGCAAGGAAAAAATGAATGAAATTTAATCTTTATTTTTCAAAGTAATTTTTAGGAATGTTTATTCGTACTTATAAAGGTACTGGTAATTTTTAATTTTTGTTAGTAATAAACTTTGGTTTTAGTCATTCATTTTTACCTACATATGATTTTCAGTCCAGAGGCTCAAAACCCACTCGGAACATTATGTATTTTTGTGAGCTTACGTAAGAATTTTTAAGACTCTTTCCCACCCCTTGTAAGAAAAAATAAAACATGGTCGACCCTTTTCGCCCCCCTCCCCCCCTAAATAATCTTACGTGATAAGAGAATGGCCTCTTACACTATAAGTTGGTTTCTAGGGTTTTCCTGTTTGTGTCCACTCTAATCTAAGTATTCGTACAAACATGTATTTATAATCAAGACCATCTCTGAATAATACTGCAATTTATCCTGAAGAAAACTTATACCAAAAACGAAACATTGCCAATATTTGCGATAACAAAATATTATATTTATTTTTGTGTTAAATTGGCTAAAATTCTTTTTAAAATAATATCTAGAGAATAATAAAAAATGTAATCTAAATAATTTTTTTACATTTAATTTAGGTACTTTTCTAATTATTAGCCGCGCTACTGATTGAACAGAATCCCGACCTTTATTATTCACATATTATTATACTGTTGAATAATCTGTCATAATAGTTAGCGATTCTAGATCTTCTAATTTACTTTTTACTGTCATATAGTTTACGTCACTATAAAGATACGGGAATGTTTTTTCCTGGGTTATTTACACATTTCCGAAACAAGTTGACATTTAAAACTTTGGTTTGCAGGAATGCCAAAAATAGAAATTGCATAAAATGCAACTTGAATATCAAGTTTAGAAAATTTTTATATTATAATAAGTAAAAAAACACTAGAGAAAGTATATATTTGAAAATTATGAGTGGAGTGAAACAGCTTTTAAGAAGTTTGGTCTGATGTTTGGAATAGTTATTTCTTGTTGGTGAAGGTCTTTGTAGGTTGGTTAAGACTCGAGGAACAATGTTAGGAACCCAATTAATGTTGAACTTGTCAACAAACACTTTAGAGCGAATATTGATCTAGACTGCTCTCGGCAAACGTTCGGGTACATGTGCATAGCAAATAAGTTTGTGCTAAACTGTAACCACAGCAAAATATACTTTCTCCCATACGTTTACAACTTATAAATAAGGGTTAAATCTGTAACAGACACAGTCCGAATTGTGAAGTGAACTGAGTGTTGGATTTTGGTGNAATTATAGGACTCTTTTTTTCAGTGAATGCACTGATTCAGTCTATTTACTTGTTGCTTAATTCAAAACATTAGTAAGTCCTTAATATTAGATAAAGAATTATAAGATTTTGTTGTTTTGTAGAAATAGAACAAAATACATCAAAATTCGTTGGAAAGGGAGCGGGTTGAACCCTCTAACACCCCTCTGGATATGCTACAGATTGTTTGTGTAAATAACACGAAATATGAACTGTTCTCCTGGCATTCGAAAATGGAAATTAAAGGAGAAAAATTGTACTTTTAGTGAATTTGAGTTAAAAAATAAATAAAAATAATTAGTATCCTTACAACTTTCCTTTAAAGCTAGTAAAACCATGAGTCAGCTGAAGTTTCTTTAATCATTTTGGTAGGTAAGAACTCTGGCTTAGGAAAGTATAGAATTACAGAATTTTTAAAAAAGAAGCAAACGAAGATTGCCATTTAGCAACTCTGTAAAATATGCAAAATAAGTAAACTATCTTTACAACTTTCTCTAACAATTTTTTAATGCGTAGTCTATTTGACAGAAGGTTGTCTTGCGGATGACTCATTTCCGTAATATTTCTTAATCATCGAGTAATAATTATCTCATTTAAATTGTATCTAACGTTTATTTCATTTACTGTTTAAATAAGAGTATTGTTATTGTTTAATTCTCGGGGTTTTCCTTCTCAAGAATGACTCTTTTTAGTTCATGTTGACCGATTTCGGGTATTCTATCATAAATTCACTTTCCTTCGAGCTTTACGACGAGAATGCTTTCATTGAAACACTTTTCTTGTATATGCGATGTTTATATACTTACACAAGTACGTATGTCATGTGATAGATTCACTTCCTGTATTATCAGCCGGAAGTAACCGGAAGTATTTTCTAAACGCCAACGACATCAATAAAAAGTTTTGAAAAAAATGATTTATGTATCATCCTCCAGACGAATAAATTTTCTCGTATATGGGAGCGACTTTTCTTTAAAAGGAATTCTCCATTTACCGAGAACATTACAAACTGTGTAGTATGCATCCAATAAAATCAGGATTTATAAATATACCTATCAAATCAAATGGTAATAAGAATTTTTCACGTTGTAAACTAATATGAGATTACTATACTCTCATTATGAGTCCAGTTTTCATTAAGGTATCTCATCTACATTTATTTGTAATAAATTAACTTTCTTCTTTAGGTATATGATTTGCGTTTATTTTTCTGTAAAACCAGTAGCGACTAATGTTATTATATAGTGGGGTCGAATTGTTTAACTGGATATTTCGCGGCGTTCTTACGACGCCATCGCGACGCCCAGGGAGCTATGGCGCACATTTTGGGAATCACTGAGGTAGGAGCCATTTATTTATTACGTAAGATTACTTTTACTAATTTTTGAACCTCCCCCCTGTATAAGAAAAAGTAAGAATATGTCAACCCTCTTCCCCTTTGTTTAATATTTATTACGTAAGTAAGGACGGGACTTGAACCTTGACGAAACTCTTGTACAAACTAGAGTGGGTGGATCGGCTTGCGAGTTTCGATGATTTAGGGAGCCGGACCATAGGTTCAACCATAATGGAGGGGTTCTTAAAGAGAAACCAGACTAAGACAAGTCCCTGAAAGAGGGCAGCAGCTCTTTCAGTACTCAGAGTGGCAGAGATCACGAGGATCGGTATGGCACTCTGATGCACAATACTGCGATGTGGAAGGCAACGGGAAACCACCACATTATGATAAAATGTAAGGTGTATGTTTGAGCACGGCATTATACGGGTGCGAAACATGGACAGTGGGCGCGGCGGAAAAGAAAAGCTTAGAAGCGTTCGAAATGTGGTGTTATAGGCGGATGATGAGGATACCATGGATAGAGAAGGTTAGAAATGAAGAGGTATTGGAAATAATAGGAGAACAGAGGACTCTATGGAAGTCAATAAAAAATAGGCGAAATAGGTTAGTAGGACACCTTCTCAGGCATGAAGGTCTAGTCAGAGAAATATTAGAGGCAGAAACAGGAGTTAGGAGGGGTAGAGGTAGACCTAGACTCTTCGCAAATAGTTAAGGATGTGGGCTGTTCTAGTTTTAGGGAAATGCGAAGTTTAGCTCAGGATAGGAAAGAGTGGAGGTACGTGTCAGAGAAATATTAGAGGCAGAAACAGGAGTTAGGAGGGGTAGAGGTAGACCTAGACTCTTCGCAAATAGTTAAGGAGGTGGGCTGTTCTAGTTTTAGGGAAATGCGAAGTTTAGCTCAGGATAGGAAAGAGTGGAGGTACGTGTCAAACCAGTCTTAGGACTGACGACCTTATGATGATGATGATGAAGCAAGGAAAAAATGAATGAAATTTAATCTTTATTTTTCAAAGTAATTTTTAGGAATGTTTATTCGTACTTATAAAGGTACTGGTAATTTTTAATTTTTGTTAGTAATAAACTTTGGTTTTAGTCATTCATTTTTACCTACATATGATTTTCAGTCCAGAGGCTCAAAACCCACTCGGAACATTATGTATTTTTGTGAGCTTACGTAAGAATTTTTAAGACTCTTTCCCACCCCTTGTAAGAAAAAATAAAACATGGTCGACCCTTTTCGCCCCCCTCCCCCCCTAAATAATCTTACGTGATAAGAGAATGGCCTCTTACACTATAAGTTGGTTTCTAGGGTTTTCCTGTTTGTGTCCACTCTAATCTAAGTATTCGTACAAACATGTATTTATAATCAAGACCATCTCTGAATAATACTGCAATTTATCCTGAAGAAAACTTATACCAAAAACGAAACATTGCCAATATTTGCGATAACAAAATATTATATTTATTTTTGTGTTAAATTGGCTAAAATTCTTTTTAAAATAATATCTAGAGAATAATAAAAAATGTAATCTAAATAATTTTTTTACATTTAATTTAGGTACTTTTCTAATTATTAGCCGCGCTACTGATTGAACAGAATCCCGACCTTTATTATTCACATATTATTATACTGTTGAATAATCTGTCATAATAGTTAGCGATTCTAGATCTTCTAATTTACTTTTTACTGTCATATAGTTTACGTCACTATAAAGATACGGGAATGTTTTTTCCTGGGTTATTTACACATTTCCGAAACAAGTTGACATTTAAAACTTTGGTTTGCAGGAATGCCAAAAATAGAAATTGCATAAAATGCAACTTGAATATCAAGTTTAGAAAATTTTTATATTATAATAAGTAAAAAAACACTAGAGAAAGTATATATTTGAAAATTATGAGTGGAGTGAAACAGCTTTTAAGAAGTTTGGTCTGATGTTTGGAATAGTTATTTCTTGTTGGTGAAGGTCTTTGTAGGTTGGTTAAGACTCGAGGAACAATGTTAGGAACCCAATTAATGTTGAACTTGTCAACAAACACTTTAGAGCGAATATTGATCTAGACTGCTCTCGGCAAACGTTCGGGTACATGTGCATAGCAAATAAGTTTGTGCTAAACTGTAACCACAGCAAAATATACTTTCTCCCATACGTTTACAACTTATAAATAAGGGTTAAATCTGTAACAGACACAGTCCGAATTGTGAAGTGAACTGAGTGTTGGATTTTGGTGTTTTTTTAATCGGCGGACGGCGGACAAAAGTTTTTACGAAAAGTAGCAAGGTAGGCTATTTTGTTTAGTTCTTATCTGCAATTTTTATGGGTGCAATATTTAAGAATACAGTCAAGAGATTTTACAGCTTTTTTTAACTTTTTTTTTACGCATTTACTTTTCTGAAATTTTGTAATTAGTTATATCACAGATGACGAAGTTTAATTAAAATTTATACTTTACCATTATCAAAAAAAAACAATTATTTATTGCAAATCAAGTTTTTATAAATTATGGTAAATAAAGTGATCCATCGAATTCCAATTGCGCGCCAAAGTTTTGTACTTTTTCAAAAATTTTGAAAATTTATAATTTACATTGCATAAAATAAATAGTACATTTTCATTTTTCAATGATTAATCGGGACAAAGTAATAGTTTTCGTTATTTCGGAAATAAGATTGTGCTTTTGGAGTATATATTCAGCAAAATTTTTGGATATTTATCAGGTACTAGACCTTTTATGTCGTTAATCCTGTTCTTTTTATTTAACCGTGCATTTGCGTTGTCAAAGTATGAAATTCGAAGAAATTTAAAATCTTTCTCATAATGTGCAGTTTGAAATCCCTAAATCAGTTGAGTTGGTTGACGATAATAAGTAAAGTTTATTCAGAATTTACGTATTAAATCTTCAGATTTGATTACGTATAGATTAAACTTTATAAAACATGTTAATTTGCTAAAAATGATCAAATTGTAACCACAGTAAAATCGTATTTTGTTTATTTTTAATCAATTAAGTTACGGGTCAAGCACTAATAATACATAAAAAATAGAGAAATGAAAGTAATGTATGGATATTGTTCACAAACAGTTTAATCAATTATCCAGACTTAATATCAGAAAGATGCGTATAGTTAAAAATGCCGACATAAAACTGCTAGTTTTATTTGACAGAATTGTGGTGAGCGTATAAAAATTTAATAAAGTAATAATAGTAGTAACGGAGACAGATCCTTCTTTATCAAAAATAGAAATTGATTAAGAAGCAATGTCACCCTTTTTTTGGTGGCTTATAGTAACGGCGCAATGAATTCTTAATTTTCTGTCCAAACATTAAGAAGTTTGTAACAGTTGTTTATTTCGTAGGCATGTGAAGTCTAAAATTTATTTCTACCTTTTCAAAAAGTATTGTATTTTTAATAATGTCTGTGTTTTTAAATCGCATGCCAAGAAAAGAAAACTAAGTTTCAGTTATAAAACCCTTGTAAAAAAAGTCATGCACCTTCTTTGGCACAAGAAAGAAAAAACTAGCTGTGATTTTGAATTATCTCAAATGAAAATTAAAATTTCCCACCCGTATGTCAACGAAAGATTCTTTTCAATTTATTCACAACGGTTTAATAACTAAAACTTATTACGTTCCTGTATAAGATGAATAATACATTCTAAGTGTTTTTTTTTCTTTTGTGATATGAGCAATAGTCCATATCATCTATGTCATCTTTTGGTTTTCTTTAAACAACAGAATGCAATTAATTGACTGCATTATGTATA